TATCTCTCTCTCTCTCTCTCTCTCTCTCTCTTCGTCTTTGGAATTTTCAGCTATGGAGGCCTCAAGGCAGCAGCTAGCGAGCTGCTCTGAACTAACACGATCTAGTTCAAAACCAGTGCTCGAGGAATTCATACCCATCAAACGCTCGAGCTCCGAAGGCTCAGAGACAACAAACATGACTTCTGATAAAGCAAATTGGATGACATCTGCTCAGTTGTGGAGTGATCAGAGCTTCCCCTCTTCTCAAAAACCCGCTTTCAACGGAAAACAGAGGAATGGTGGAGCTTTCCTCCCGTTCTCTAAGGATAGAGAAAGCAGAAAGACTCTCTCGGACCTTGCCTTGGCTTCCACAGAGAAGGAAGAAATAGAGAGTCCTAAATTCACAGAGCATGAAGCCTCCGGGGCCAACAAGATGAAAGAGAACTACAACCAGGTTCAAGGGGGTGGAGGAGGAGGGTTAGAGAGAGAGGAGAATAAGGGGAGTAGTGGTGGTCAGACGCAGAGGAAGGCAAGGAGGTGTTGGTCTCCTGATTTACACAGGCGTTTTGTTAGTGCACTTCAACAGCTTGGTGGGTCTCAAGGTCAGATAATCTCTCTCTCTCTCTCTCTCTTAAATTTAGAGGAGGCTTTCTTTTTCATCTCTCTTTTTTCTCTTTTGGTTGGGATTTTTAAAATCTCTCTCTTAAATTATAGATTGTCTGTCTTATTTTTGGGTGGCTGGTGTGTGATTGTGGAGTAGTTGCCACCCCAAAGCAGATCAGGGAGCTCATGAAGGTTGATGGATTGACCAATGATGAGGTGAAAAGCCACTTACAGGTACCCTCTCTCTCTCTCTCTCTCTCTCTCAAATCCGCAATGAATCTCCTCCTTTTGTCTCTCTCTCTTATGTGCCATTTCCTATTCAATTTTTTGTTCCCCACTTGTCCCAAACATGGAAAGTCTACTTCACTGCTCTCTTTCTCTCTCTCCATTACTACTCTCTCTCTAGAAGTCGACATGCCTAATATGATCCGAGAAGTATACAGAGATTTTTTACTTTTAGTACAATAACACTCTTGTCAGTTAGATTTTAAATGCAGAGATTGTACGAGTGTTATCGACTAGACTCGTTATTAAAAAAAAAAAAATTTCAAACTCGGTGATACCACCGACCATTCAATTTGAAGGATGCATCTATAACTGTAGAGGTAAGGTGCACCTTCAAATTTTATCATGGTATATAAGTTTGATGTAAAATGTTCTTAGGAATATCTCAAAATCTATTTTTATATCTAATTATAAAATTTAAAATTTCTAAAATGGTTAAAATCAAGTAGGTCTATAAAGATATGAAAATCTTGAAAATAGACGGTGTAATATAATATAAAATGCACTATTTATGATATTTAAAATCTTTTTATTTTTCATGGTCATAAATCATCTCGATGTCGAGATGATCAATCTAAGGGTTTTTCAACATTAAAACTACATTTTTCGACGGATTTTTTAGATGTATTTGTAGTTCTTATCCTTGTATAAAAGTCTGATAGTATACAATCCCTACCCCACATACTGCAAAAACTCTCTCTCTCTAGGAGACCGTATCCATTACAAACACTTTTCTGATTCACTCAAGACAAGGACCCATTCCTCCCTCTCTCCTCACTAGTTCTCTCTCTCTCTCTCTTACTCCCACACACAGGGTGTGACACACCCACCCAATCTATGAATTAGATCTCTCTCTCTCTCTCTTGACTAACCATACTTTTATCATGGTGCACAGAAATACAGGCTCCACACAAGACGGCCAAGCCCCACCCCACAAGCAGTTCCCACACCGGCTCCACAACTAGTAGTCCTGGGTGGCATCTGGGTCCCACAACCTGACTTCTCTAACCCCTCTCCCAATGTTAACCCCTCCAACCCATCACAAACTCTCTACACCACAACCCCACCAACCCAACCCCACCACTTCTGCCAGCCAACAATGGCCCAAGACCACCTCTACGCGCCCACGCACCGAACCTATTGTGACCAAATGGCTCTAGCCCACATGAACCCATCTCACCCGAACGGCTCGGTGATCGAGCAGAGAGGTGGGTCGGAGAGCATAGAAGAGGATGGAAAGTCAGAGAGTGGGAGTGCCGAGAACGAGGTTAGAGATGCGGGTCCAGCCCTCTCGCTATCTCGCATGCATGGCCATCGTCATGGGAATCGTGGCCATGATGGCGATGACATGGATGAAGATGGGGACGGTGATGATGATGATGGGGATGATGGGGATGAGGATGATAGTACAGGGAGTGAGATAACACTGAAGTTTTAGCTTAGGTTTTTTTTAGGTCTAATGTGTGATTTAGAGCTTCCTAGTGTTGTATCTATTAACCACTGTATGTTCTAAGAATCTGAAACCAATTTCCCACCTAGAGCATCTGTTTCCTCGGCTTATATATAGGACTGACAATTGTGTCTTTAGAGTTTTGATAAATGACCAAATTATCTTGTTCATCTCCATATGGTTATGATGTTAAGTCCTTGGTTTGAGGGAATTTCTTTAGGAATTCAAGTGAAATCAGCTCTTTTTCTCTCTTGATGTTTCTTTCTTCTTTCCTTGCATTTGATCTACTACAGGAATGTTAAACATTCATCCATTAAAGTAATAATAATGTTTCATTTTTCATTGAATTTAAGAGAAGTAATAGCTCGTAAATTAATAGAACTGTGTAGCTCTTCATTTTCTGGTTCGGAAAAAAACCAGTACTATTGCAGCTTTTGTTTATAAGGAAAGAGACACACAACAAAGAGGAAATAATGAAGGTGCTGCAGATATTTTTGGGAAGCAACAAGAGAGCCACACTAATTACCAAAAAAACAAACATTAAACATGTTCCTAACTGTCACACATGGAAATGAAGGATACATTACCAATTTTGGGGCAAAATTCCCCCTAGTATTTTGTTGCTTTAAAAAATCAGAACATTTAAACAGCCAAATGTAGAGCTTATCTAAATCGAAACTTTCATTAGAGAGAAAGATGTACAAGCATTTCCTCCTGGTCTTCCTTCTAAACACATGGTGCAGCAAATCCAAACATGACCCCAACAAACCTATTCAATTATGCTTCACATTGAGCATATTACTCTTGTCCAAGTCACTTAAGTACTGATAAGTTGTTTTGCTTTATTCCTATATGGGTATCATTGAATTGAAACTGAAGATCAAAGGTTCCTTACTAAGCTTGAGAGCCTGATCCTTAGGAAGCGTAACTGAAACATTGCGAGCCAAGCCCCCCTCAGGGGAAGGAAGGATCAAGATCTCCCCTTCTCCTGCCACAGGCTCAACATAAAGCGAAACCCTAACCGGCTCCAACCCATTTCCAAACACAACTTCATACAATGGCAATTCTTCCAAGTTTGCACATACAAGGCCAGGACCATAGACAGGAAAAGGCTCATACTGCTTCTTTCCCCCTTCTCCCTCTCTCTTAGATTCAACCCATCGAAGCAAATGCATTGCCTCCTCTTCTCCAATCTTGTTTACAGCCTCTTGCAAAATTCTGGTTAAATAACCCAACTCCCCTTCTTTCATTTCTTTCTTGATATTCATGTTATGAGGATCCATAATAGTGAAAACCATGGCATTTCCAAAGAACTCATCACCAAGGCCCAAGGTACTCCTCATGTTAAGGCAAAGGGACAAATCCACTAAGGTCTCTTGTCCCTTCACTCTACTACATGCAACCCAAAAGAGTGCTGTAAGTGCCTCGAAGGGTGTGGGCTGGAGCCCATTTAGTGAGCCCCACTGGGCGTCTCTAATGCACTTCTGAACCATCTCATTGCTAAAGTGGAATGTTACGGTCGAGTGAGCGGCTATGGGGTCTCTTAACCCTTGTGAACGTCCTTGTTCTGTGTGGGCCTTTGCGGCTGATTCATAGTGTTTCACACATGGGCTGTCGTTGAGGAATGAGGAAGACACTGCTCCAGTTATTGGAGTTAAAGAGAGATGAGTAGGTGGATAAATTGAAATCTGTTTGAGATGGGTCTCAGCCCATTTCTTCACAAATTGAGCGGCACAAATTGCGTCAGATAAGAGATGGCTACAACTGAATCCAAGAGCCAGCCCCCCACCCTCGAACACGGTCAGCTGCAACGAGCAATTAGAAATTTAGAAGTGTGGATGGTAGATTTTAAGCGGATGGATTGTCCATGTAATCTGGACAGTGCACATGGAATCTCGGCTATTCTCTCAAATTGGAAAAGAACAGAACTGGAAGCGACACCCCTATAGGGCTGTGAATGACACCTATAACCTTCAACGTTTTTAGGTTGAGTTCTGTTATTTTCAAATGAACAATAGGTGTTACGAAAATTTGCAAAAGCAATAAGACCTTCCATAATGCGAAAATTTACCATAATCTTCATGACAACAGGTGGTTTGTGATCATGAGGTTCATCACCATCCAATCAATGCGGTTGGATGATGGAGGAGTGGGAAGCTGATCCCCTGTGGACCTTAAATTCAAAAAATCTAAGGCCTAAACATTTTCTTTGACATTTGAAAGAAAGAAAGCTAATGCATAAATTGACCTTAATCCCTGAAACCACTAATACGAAGGCATGAAACAAACTCCATCCCTGCTTTTGCATTGACAAAGATGTCCCTTCGTAGAAAGCTCTATCCTACAAAAGAACAGCCCAAGAGATATACCTGAACATAAAATGTTGACCAGAAATACATATCGACTCTCATGTCTTCCCAATGAGCAAGCTTCAACTCTGCATCTCTATTGACAACTGTCAGCCACTCGTCGATAGTCATATTCACCCTTCCTTCCACAAGTCTCACCCCTGTGTCTATGAGCTTGACCCACCAACTTCCAGTCTCGCCCCTCACAAGCCTACCCGTCATAACTGGAAAACTAGAAAGCAACATCGATAGAGATTCTTTTAGCTTGTTCACCAGGACCAAAGCCTCATCCTCTCCACCAAATCTGTAGTAATAGACCGCACGTATATTATGAAGCTCCATAATGCGATCTAGGGGTGAAAGCAGAAATATTTTCCCCGGAGGCGTCACATAGGCGCTCACAATCGTTCTCTTGCTACAAATAGAGATCAAACTTGCAAGGTCGGCCATTGTAGAGTCTTCAGAATGAATCTTGCACTCACTGATGGAGCCAAGAATGCATGTGTATATCATACACAGTTAGACACAAACACACATATATATATATATTTACACATGCACTACATGACTTCGGGACCACTTTTAGAAGACAACAAATCTGAACCATGAACTATCCTTGGCTTTCTAGAAATAGACATATCACCCAAAAGTAAAATGACCAAAAGGCCCTCTCTTCTTCCAATGTGCCCTTGGGGGCAAGGATTACCGGGGTTCAATAAATGACTAGAACATGATTCATGTACAGCTTTGTCTATGATTAACCTAATTGAGGAAGAAACTCAACGATGAGGGATCTTGATTCACAGTTTCTAAGGGATCGGAACCTCCTCAGTGCCTTTTCAGTGAGGAAATCAGAGCAAAATGACCAAATAACCTTTGTGCTCTAGTTGATTATGTTATTTCTCGATCTCATAGTCCGCACTCCTAGTTCAACATAAGATTACTTTTTATTATGCTTCAACAGAAGAAATTTTGGCCATTTCAATCCTTTCATGGGTGTTTGTAGCATGCGAAGCCAGTAGTGGAAATCCCAGGGGCAGTTTGGATAACCCACCAACACGTAGAACCCCTAATCCTTAAAATATGGAACAAATTTCTGAAAATTTTGGAAAACTATTGCATGTGTCTTCACACAGATTATATCCACAACAGCATTAACAAACTCTACTACAGCCTAACAATACACACAAAAAGCCTGCACTAGGATTCAAACCATACATTTCCTGAAAACTCCTGCCAGAATTCTCAAATTTGGCATGAATATTCACGGGCCAAAGATTTTTATCCTTTTTGTTTACTACAGAAATCTAATACTTAATTGTGGATTATGAAATTTAGGCTCGCTCCCTTAACTGAAACCATTGAAAATCCAAGAGAACTCTCTCTCTCTCTCTCTCTCTCTCTCTCTCTCTCTCTCTAGTCCGTACGACGTCGTCGTACGTAACGTACTA